TTTTTTTTTTTTTTTTTTTTTGTATTTTTAATAGAGACGGGGTTTCACCATGTTGGCCAGACTGGTCTCGAACTCCTGACCTCAGGCGATCCGCCCGTCTCGGCCTCGCAAAGTGTTGGGATCGCAGGCATGTGTCACCGCGCCCGGCCAGGTACTGGATTGTTGTGATCTTACTGAAGCACTGAGAGATGTCAGCCAAGGTCAACCCCTAGTGAAGCTCCTAGGCAGGATTTCAGCCCCTCGATCTGCCCAACTCCAGAACTCTTAACTCGTGTTTCTGTTCAAACCTGTGACCTTTCCAGGCTTCCCTGGCCAGCTCAGGAAAGAAGTGGTGAGACATTATATAGAGGAAAAGATTTCTTTTTTAAAAAATTGCCCTCTTCCAGACTGAGAATAAATTATGATATTTTTAATGGCTTTTATAATTTGAAAATAAAAGGGTCACACAGAAAGATGACTGACAGTAGTAACGGAATCATACTGGAGCAAAAGAAATTAATGGTTCTCAGGAGAGTCTCCAGTTTCCAGAACACCAGAGGAGGCAGTGTTGTGTAACAAAAGTAATTTTGCCTGTTCCTCTTATTGGCTGTGTCATCTTGGACAAAGCACTTTTTTGAGCTTTAATTTCCTTATGGATAAGGTGGGAATATTATTTTCTGAAGTTACTTTTTTTTTTTTAAATGGGCTTCTCTCTGTGTTCTTTTTAAATTCGGTTTTCATCATGGAGCTAACTTAATGAGCACTTTGGGTGCATCAGCTCGGTGCTAGACCCTCGGTACAGGTGGTCTCACTGAATCCTCATAGCAACCCTGGGGGATTGGTCTTATTGCCATCTTCATCTACAGATGCGGCAACTGAGGCCCAGAAAAATGAGAACGTTTGCCTTGGGTCACAGAGCTGGAAGCGGCAGAGCTGTATGATCCAGACCCTGGATCCTAGTCTGATTTCCAGGGCTTTAGCCGAAGCTACACTGTCCTCAAGCTGTGCTCCTCTGGGCCTTTTTCTGTCTTTTTTTTTTTTTTTTTAAGATGGAATTTCACTCTCGTAGCCCAGGCTGGAGTGCAGTGGCACAATCTCAGCTCACTGCAACCTCCGCCTCCCGGGTTCAAGCGATTCTCCTGCCTCAGCTTCCCGAGTAGCTGGGATTACAGGCACCCACCACCATGCCCAGCTAATTTTTTGTATTTTTTAGTGGAGACAGGGTTTCACCATGTTAGCCAGGCTGGTCTTGAACTCCTGACCTCAGGTGATCCGCCCGCCTCAGCCTCCCAAAGTGCTGGGATTACAGGCGTGAGCCACTGCGC